GTCATTCATCCCTGAATACTGGAATATTTGAAAACAATATGAAAGTTATACTATAATTCATTTTCAGAATATACTAAAGCTTGTTACAAATTATAGCTTGCAAGCATCTTTAGGTTCCAATATAAAAATATTTAATATTCCAATGCAGTAAATTACAACCGCTCACATGAATAGGTATTCTCTTTCAGTGCTGCCTTCTCTATGCAAAAAAAAATTTTTGCATGCCACAAGCCTTGAGCTCCTATGTACCTTGTAATCAACTGATTCAAATGCAAATCATCATGCAACAATCTTCCACCAGTAAGAGTGCAATACATTCTCCTGACGCATGTGACTTCCTCTATTCGATTCTATCAAACTATTACTTCTCATTTGACAGCACTCATATCAAGACATTTTTTGTGCTCTTCAAATTTAATCCATTTCATGATTGTTTTTAGCTATTATTCCAGAGTGGATTTTTATTTTTTTCTTCAACAGTTAATAACTTTTCAGATAACTTATTTTCTCAGTTTTTAATTTTATTTTCATCAAACACTTGTGTTTGATTTTCAAATTTACACAATGAATTCTGAAGTTCAAGTTACCACTTCAGTTATAATACCTTATAGTAGCATACTCACATAGGCTACAGGTGGGGTGACTCGTCTTTGGATTTATTGGCTATCATCTGCTGTTTGATTGATCGTTATACGAGTCAGCCTACTTCTCTTGCTCTTGCCCCTATTCCTCTTGAATGTGCCGAACATGTTCGGGTTGACGATGATTTTGACAGCCTTTTTCAGCAACCTGATTTTACCATGTTTTCCTATGCCCCTAATGTGGAATCAACTAGGCCTAATATGGATTTTTTGGACATGATTTCTCAGGTATGTTCTGTTTTATCCATTTCCCTGATTTCGTATGATCCCTATCCTTATATGTTACATGATACCTCCTCCTCTCAGTATTTGGTCTTCCTCCGTTTCCCTGGATATTAGGATTCATGCTGAGCATTTTGTTTCTCAGATAGTTGAGGTTGCCAGCATTCCTCACCTTCTAACAGGCTTTGAATCAGTTTGCCTTGGTCTACCATTGGGCTGAATGTCTATTTCTCAACTCTCAACAGTTAGAATAGATTTTTGCCCTCATCATCCTGTTCATCTCATGCCCAATTTTACCTCCTTCGTCTTACCCTATTGACTCTTCTATGGTACTTGTCTACTATTTACTCTCTTTCTGAGGCAATCCAAAGAGATCCTGAGGGTTTCTTGAAGGATTGCTTCTCCTGATCACCCCCACATTAGCACATTTGTCTTCTTCGGCTCTAGCTTTACCCAAATGATTTCTCTGTTGTTGAGATCTCCTGGAGAGAGACGCAGCCTTATACCACGTTCATTTACTACCTCCTTATCTCCAGAACTTATGTAAGGCCCCTTTTCTTCGGCAGTATGTTTTTAGTAATATTCCTGAGACTTTGGAATCGTGTGTGGAGTCCGTGAAACAGCACACTGCCCATTCTTCTTTGGTGGATCATTTGTCACATTCTGAGCCTTGACATGCCCCTATTACTGTTTCCCATCCAGCTCCTTCTCAGCCTTTACCTCTTCCTCCCTCCAGAGGTTCTTCATCCCGTCATTTTATTCGACACAGATGGATGCATCGCCAAAAGTAGCAGTGACAACTCAGTGGGGACTCACTTGTCTGATTTTGTTCCCCCTTTAGTGACCTTTTGCAACAGATCTGTGGGTTATTCAGGTTTTATCCGATGGACTTGTCATCCAATTTCTTTCCCCTCCTCCTCCGTTACCACAGATATCCATTTATTTTCCATTGCCTTGGGATCCCACCACCAGTCAGCATCTATCTGAGGTGGTACAAGATATTCTCTTCCAGCAGGCTATCCTTCTGCAGGTTTTTATTCCAGGCTGATTGTAGTATCCAAGAAAACCAGAGACTGGCAGCCTGTGATCGATTTGTCCCACCTCAATCAATTTTTGTTTCTACCCCGATTTAACATGGAGTCTTTTCTCACTCTTAAATGGGCTTTTTCTCCGGGTTTCTGGATGATCAAGGAAGACATTGTGAATGCTTAAATGCATATTCTAATATCTTGTCAGCTGAGACACTTTATTTGTTACCTTTCATCATGGGGTAGTTTATCAGTTTCATGCCCTGCCCTTTGGATTTGCTTCAGCCCTGTATGCCTTTTATCAGGTGGTCAAGGCAATCATCTGACATTCACATGCTCAAAGGTTGCGCTTCCATCATTACATGGATGACTGGCTTCTGTTACATTGTTCCAAACAGGAATCCACCAATCACACTCATCAGCTGCTCCTAGAGCCAGCTTGTATGGGCTGGATAATCAAATTTGAGAAGTAATTTCTTATACCTACCCAATTTCTTGTCCATTTGGGTGTTTTTTAACACTCACCTCAGTTGGGCCCAACTTTCTCCTCCTTGACTTCATTCAATAGAGCTTTCAACTCTCCATTCCCTTACTGTTCCCTCTCTAACATCTCGTGAGGTTCTATCACTTCTGAGGATGTGGTCTTCCATGGAAGTCCTCATTCCCTTGGGTCAAGCACTTATGAGGTCTCTTCAGTGGACTCTGCACAGCCAAAGGAATTTTGCACAGGATATATTGAAAGCTCCTATTTCCCTTCCTTCTTTCTTCATAGATTATCTCCATTGCTGGTTGGACAAGGCTCACACGTCGGTGACTGTTCTGCTTCCTCCCCCTTTTCCGGATTTACATAGACACTTCCCTTTTACAACTGGGGGGGCATGGGTCAATCCGTAGGAAGCTTAAGGTCGGTGGTCTCGACAGAATGATCTTACCATATCAACATTTTGGAGCTTCTGTCTGTATGTCGTGTCCTGGATCATTTTTTTCATCTTGCCAAGAATTGTCTGGTCATAATCCATTCTGACAATTTTACAGTGGTGACTTATCTCAGTCACCAAGGTGGCACCCATTCTTATTCCCTTTGTGGTCAGACCTTGGATCTTCCTTTTTTGGGCCTACACACTCACTATTTGTATTATTGCATGTAATGTTCCAGGTGCATTCAATCTTGTTGTGGATTGGCTTTCTTGTCCAGACAAAGTTTGTCTGTTGGAGTGGTCTCTCTCTATCCTCTTGTTTTCTAGTGGCTATGCCTTCAGTGGGGTCCTTCTCACCTAGATGCATTTGCCACATCTCACAGTACCAGATTACCTCTGTTTTGGTCTCCAATTCCTCATCCTCTTGCTATCAGTGCTTTCAGTCAAGATTGGACCAACAAATACATGTATCCTTATCCTCCCATCTGTCTTCTTCACAGGATGATCTTGATCACCCATGTCACTTTGTGTCAAGTCCTTCTGAGGAGATACAGTTTGTCCCACAGGTAGCTTCTTTTTTAGCTTGTTCCATTTGCCCTTCCTCTAGGGATCTTTATAAGCTAAACATTTTCTGCAGTTGATCTTTGGGTCAGGGGTTTTCACTCACTAAACCCATGGTTCCTCATATTACAGATTTTTTCATGTGGCTCTTTAATCAGGGGTCTTCTGTCTCCACAATCACAGGTTATTGAGCTGCCTTATCTCACATTTTTCATTTTTCTTAGTATCATAAAGTTTTTACCTCTCCTACCCTTTTCATCTTGTAACATTCTATCTAGATTAGTCATCCACCTCGGTATGCTGTCCTTCCAGATTGGGATGTTAATGTGGTTCTTCACTGCCTCACTTTGCCTTCCTTTGAACCTCTGTCCTCATGCTCAATTTTCCAATTATCCCTTAAAACTCATTTCCTTCTCTTAGCCCATGAATGTTGTAGGTCAGATTTATTTGCCATCATTGTTTCACATGCTCTGTATCATTCCACATATGTTCTCCTTTATCCAGATTGATCTTTCCTCCCAAAAACTTCAGTGGCTTGGGAGGGTAATTCCTTCTCCTTGTCAATTTCCCACCTTTATCCTCGGTCGGATCCAGATAGGCTACTATGTCCTGTCCATGCTCTTAGTTGTTATGTTGCCCATACAGCTTCCTTCTATGATGCCCATTCCCACCTATTCATTCCTTGGCATACATCCTCTCTTCGTGACCTTTCTCTTTGCATCCTGACCAATTGGTTTCAGCTTTTGATTTGATTGGCTTATTCTTCCTTATCATCTTCTTCCCGTACTTTTTCCAGGTGTCTTCTCATGAGATCAAGCACCTTACCTTTTCCCTGGCATCTCTATTGTCCCATGAAAGAAATTCTTCATTCAGGCATGTGAACTACCCACATACATTGTTATCTCACTATCTGCTTTGGATCGCTGTGTCTTCATCTTCGGGTTATCATTTTCCACCTGTAGCCATTCTTCAAACTTCAGTGAGACTGTGACTGAGTAAGTTATCTTTCGTATCTATATCTCTTCTTTTTCAAAGCCTCTTCCCTTTTTCTTTTTACACTGTCTGGATCCCGCTTTGTAGTGAGTGGTGCCTAACCAGGTATACTGAAAATTGTCAAATCCACACTGTAAGGCTATGATGACTTAACAGTTATAATTTCCATGGTCACGAAACTCACACTGTTGAGATGGGGTGTTCTACAAGATTGCTTGTAGGTTTGTCCTCGTGATATATTTGCTTCATTGATATGCCCATCCCAGACTGTACTCACCCATGGACTTAATGGATAAAGCAGAAGGGGATAGCTGCCCATTCCTGCCATGCCTTAGATTGAATAAATCAGTTGTGGTCTGCTTTTTGAAATAGGTTTTTCATGGTCATCTGTTGCACTGTTTCAGGTATTGTAATTCCTCTGGACTCTCCACCAAAATTTCTCCCCACTTTTTCTTCCAGTGGGGTATGGGGGTCCTTACCACTTTCCAGTTCCAAGGTGGTGGACCATAGAGGCATCCTCCTGAATGTGATAATGATAAAATATACATATAATGATAAGACCATTTAACTGAGAGTTCACCCCTTGGATTGGGATCCCTCATCCTACCCCCATGTGGATGTCAGTTCCCAGTGACTGGGTTTTGGATTCAGAGCTGAACCAATCAACATTAGTCCTCACATATGTATTACAGTGTCTCTGTTCCCTCACTCAATTATATTCTTGTTCCCTCCACTCATGTTGTGGGTCACGGTGGTGCTTACAGATTAATACAGTTCTTTCTCTTATGCTATCCCTCAATGATTTTCATATACTGAGGATGTTTTTGTGCTGGGAATGGTTCCTCTCAGATTGGTTTTGAGTGGGAGCATTTACTTTACAGGGACATCTCTCTTATGCTGATCGTCTGGATGTACGGTTTCTGGGTTGGGTTCAAAGGATTTATCCTATTGCTATCGTGTCCTATTCAAAGATTGGTGGGTATGAGATTTCTCTCTGGTCTGCTGAATGACATGTGAAGATGGTATGATGCTCTTTCCTTCCCCCACATGGATGTCAGTTCCTGGTGATTGGGTTTTGGATTGTAGTTGACTTATTGATGGTATGATACTCATCCTACCCCTGTGGGGATGTCATTTCCCAGTTGCTGGACTTTGAATGCAATTGATTTGCCATGTATGGTCTGTTGAGCCCTAGCCACTCTACATCTATGAGCACGTCCTTTTTTACTTTCACCCACATTCATGTAATCTATGGGATTGAAATTCAGAGATTCTATGGTTCTGATCTCTATCCAACCATTGTTCTCTCTCTTTTGGATGTGTTTCTCTCATTTTCCACCCATGTCTGCATCACCTCTTTTCACACTGGCCAAAGAGTGTATCTTGTACAGAAGTGGTGCGGTCTCACATATATGATCCTCTAATGCAAGGATCTCCTCTTTTAGGGTGTTCTGTGGATGCTTCTTTCTTTTCCTCTCACTGGTCCCTCATCAATGTGGGATTCTAGTTGTATGTGAGAAGAAGTAATGTTCTGTATCGGAAGTTATAGGTACTTATAGTTATAGGGAAATAGGTACTTACATCCTCTCACAATTCCCACCCTTCCTCCCCACTGAAAACTGGTACTTCCATTTTCTGTTAAAACTTGAAGTGATAGTTCAGTAGAATCATTTAGAGGGAGTCACATGCATCAGGAAGGTATGTCACACTCCTATTGGTGGAGGGTTGTCGCATGATGATTTACATGTGAGACGCAGTTGAACCATGTTAAACATAGAGTATGTCGGAGCTCAAGGCATGTGACATACAAAAAATTTTTGCACATAGAGGACAACACTGAATGAGAATAGCTATTTATGTGAGCAGTTGTAATTTACCGCATTGGAATATTATACATTTTCATATTGGAACCCAAAGATGCTTGCAAACTATTCCATAAAGAAAATATTATCAAGCATTTTACTTTTTAAGTACCTATCAGAAATACATTTTCATTATAGGAAAATTATAACTTTGAAATTGTATAATAGTACACTTAATTGTTTAAATTTTGTAAACATTGTACTTCTGTAGGTTATTGAAAATCGGCATAATATATTTGAAATAGCATGCTTATTATATATTATAGTATAGTTGACCTTAATAATATTATATTTAAATGTAGTAATTTTGCCATATATATATATATATATATTCTAATATTGAACTTTGTTTTCCATCAATATAGTTTTTTGTAATAACAGACTGCAAAGTATGTAATTTATTGTTAATGTGCTGTTTTGAAACCGTTTGCAGATTAGCTTTGATTGGGGGACTTGATGGTTTCCTGCAACTGATGATTGCTTCTAAGGCTAAACCTGATATTAGAACTTTCTCACTTTTACTGGAAACCCTGCCCTCAACCACAGAAAGTGAAGTGGCACTACTTCAATGGATTGATAAACTTCAACTAAGCCCTGACACTGACTTCTTTAATCTTCTTATCAAGAAAAGAAACTATAGAAAAGATTTTTTTGGTGCAAAGGTTGGTCAAAAGTTGGTTAAAATTTCAATTCTGTATATAGATATACATATTTATTATGTATGATATAGTTATTTCCAGTCTAACTTAATTTTTATCTCGAGGGAGCAAAATAGAACACAGAAAGCACAAGATGGGAAAGATATCATATTCTTTAGTTAAGTTGAACATGCACTAAATGTTTCAGGATGATTGAGCAAGGAGTTATTTGTCATATAAATCTTACCCAGAATATTGTGGATAATGTAATAGGCTTTTCTAAAATTGAACTGATAGGATATTGGCAAGTCAACTAAGGTGGGAAAAAAAGTTGGAAAATAGACAACTTCTATATGCCACAGAAAAAAAAGATAATTCTGTTTGATATAAACTTCACTTGGAGGTAGCCTATTCTGGCATCACTTGGCAAAAGAAAATTACCTGGTCAATTAATACCAATTCTTATGAATCTGTTTATTGCACTACTTTAAAATTAATTACAGTTGAAAAATGGCTTGAAATTAATTCTAAAAATCTCTATAAGTAGGTTAATTAGAGAAAAATAATGTAAACAAATAAAATTAACTGTCAAAAGTTAATAGCATGCCATTTAATGAGAATTTTGCTAGAAGTAAGGCTTACCTTGAAGGTTCAGACTGTTTGGAAACTTACCACAAAACATAAAACTGAGTCTTATGTGGTGCTGTGAAAGAGGTTAGATTATACCATGTTGAAACTTGGGTTACTCAGTCAAGAAGAAGTTGTTTCAATACAGGAATATGTTATGTTTCATTTTAATACCAAGGAGTTTTTTTGCCAATTCAACATGAATTATTTAGTAGTCAACATAACAATGTGACATGCTCATTGAATACTATGATCTAACCAGGTGAGAAAAACCTTTCATAATTGTTTATTTACATCAAATTCATCTGTAAGAAATGCTCAATTTTGTGTCTAAAAGCTCTGCTACTTCTTATAAGTATTGATTCTTGTTAACTTTTTAATTATTCTTTGTTTATAGCTCTAGGTAATAATTATCCAAGTTAAACTTTCCCTGTTGAAACATCCTTTCCCCCAGTAATAAATATCATTGTTTAAAGGTGAATATTTTAATTTTTGCAGAGGTTTTCTCAAAATGTCATATTAAAACTATACCATTCTCGTGGATGTTTCAGTAAAAAAATAGGCTTTTTTAGCACAACAACAGAGTTATCACCCACTTCACCCATAAATTTAGTAAGGTTTTGATTTTCTCAATATAAATTTAGTTTTTGGCTTAAAATAGGAACTCGCTTTAAAAAGATAATGATTACAGAATTAATTTTATAGTTGGAGATAAAGAGTCAAAAAAAGATAAAAGAAAGAGATTAAGGTAAAAGAATTGTAGATGTCACTAAATTGCATATTTTCACATTAGTTTTGCCTGTGTTTTTTCTATCATTTCCCTTTTATTTTATCCCCACCAACCCCACTACATCAAAATAGACCTAAAGTACCATTCTAATCATAAAACTTTTTAATGAGAACACAACTTCTCCACATAAATACATTTTGCTTCTAACACCTATGTACAATTATAAATTCAAATACAGAAATGACTTAGTAAGCATCAATCACAAATTAGAATTGATAGAGTATTAAATATTTACAATTGTTTCAAACTTAGTGACTCGCAGAGTTAAAGTTAAACATTGCATTTTGATTTGGCCGAAATATTGCTTTAGATTGCACAAAAGAAAAAAAATAAATCCAGGTTGGAGCCCTAGAATTCTTTGGGGGAATTCACAGTGTAAATTTGTGTAACGTATCCATACCTGGAATTTACAAAAGATGTGAGATTGGATTACCACTTAGCATATTACAGATTTAAAAAGGGATAGCACAATTTACCATTTTAAATATATACACTTTCATTTGGCAGTATCTTTCATCTTTGTATAAGCACTAGCAGAATGTATATTAAAATCATTTGTTTTTTCTTTGATGTCCAGAATATTACAGTTTTAATAAATTCAAAGCACTGAAGGTTTTGATAAGCCTTCAGTTGTAATATGCATTAACTCTTTGAGCACAGGCTCTCTCCCTGGGACCGACCTTGTAACCATTTTATGCTTGTTATAGTTTCCATGCTATAACTTTTAAATTAGTAAGTGAATGTTAACAAAATTTGGCAGATTATCAGTAAACGTTAGAATGTTTTCATATGCAAAATATAAATTTTTTTATTAAGTCTTAAGGTTTGTAAAGCAATGTTTTTCTCATCTATTTCTTTCTTTTCACATGTTGTCTAACTATCATGTAAAGTAATATTCATTTTAAGATTAAAGATGATTTTATGTATCAGAAAATTTTGAAATTTCACTTGCAAAATCATTATAATGTCCAGATAGTTATCAAACATTTCTTAAGAAAAAAACTATATATTTTATCTGTTATTTTCAGTAATTAATATCTACAGGTTCGGTAGATTTGACTGATCTCGCAACAACCATAAAAAATTAGGAAATAAATATATATTATGCCTCTTTCATTCTAGAATGAATACAGATTATAACACAAAAACATAAATGTTTAGACTAAGTAGCTTAAATCTTAATTGAACAAAACAACCCTACTTTAAACCAACACCCGGGATGCCTAGATACCTCTTCTAAGTTTTGCAACTGTATCCGGTCATGTGACAATACTGTATATATATATATATATCTGTGTCTGTAAATTACTTGTACCTGATGACGACAAAACCTTGTCAAAACATTGTACATTTGCTGTTATGTTAAACTTATATTAAAGTTTTTCTTCATTACCCATTCAAGCCATCTCCAAACCTTATTAGCTTAAATCTCATAACATTATACATTTATATATATTTATTATATTGACCTTTCAGCCATGCCTGGCTAACAATACAGAAGTTACAAAGATGCTGCTCACGTGCACTCATGTTACCGTATCAAATAACATAAAACTGACCTTTGGTCTGTACAAAGTAACTTATCTTGGCTGTGTTTTATTAGACTAGTATTTTGTAAAATATAGTCACATTTCAATTATTCTACATTATATATGTATATAGATTATT